TTCCATGTCGAAATGTCGCCAAACTGTCCCTCGTTGTTCAGGGTGCGGCGCACAGACTGTCGGTGCGCCTGTCCCCGTCTCCGGCTGCTGTACTCTGAGGGAGAATGAACTCGATGTCGTAATCGTTATCCGTTATTGTGGTGCTTGGAGGCCCAGGCCTGTGGATAGACGGCGTGCCAGAGCGAAAGAGCGTTGCTGCCTTCTCAGCCACGGATACGGAATGGTCCAGTTTGAAGACGGAAAAACTCATTACCGTGTCTCGGCTACGGAGAGATGAGACGATTGCCTGCTTTATAGATACTCAATCTTCTATCTGCTCCGCAGCTCGTGTCGTCTTCGTTGTCTGTTCTATCTCACATTGAATGACCATCTCCGCAAAAGTCAGTTGCTGCAGGGTGACGCCCAGGTTCCGGCCTTCCTTCCTCATCTGAAAAACTTTTAAGAGTGTCGTCCTTAAGGCGGGGGCGCCCCACATATCGTCGCCGCTCCGTCTCCACATCTTGTTCTCCTTCATCTCGGTGCGCATCTTGTTGCGAGCGGGGAGGTGGTGGTCCGTTTGCTGCGATCCGACGAGCGGAATCCTTTTTTCAGCCCAAAACCAATGTTTCAGCTGCCATGTAATCTCTCCGCGGATCGTCGTCATCATTCTGTTGCATTCCCCTATGACAGCTCGAATCACGCACTCTACTATGTGAGACCGCAGCCCTTCCTCTGCTGTCTCCCCTGCCAGTTTCGCCGTCGCTTGCACCACCTCGAAAAACGCGTCCTCTGTCGGGTACAGAGTTGCGTCGTTTGCCGCAGAGAACGCAAAGGCTTTGGCGACGGAACGCAACATCTTGCCCTTCATTTTCTTCGTGAATGCGGCGCCCTCGTTCTTTGGTCCTTGCACGGCTCCGCCGCTTACACGCACTTTCGTTCGTGACGTTGCGATCGGTGGGAAACAGAAGACACAACGCACAGGAGAGTGTTAACAACTCAGTGCCTTGTTTTGAATACAGCACTTGCAAAATTGAAGATTCGGCTATCAGATGTGCGTTTACAAAGACACTTCTCCGTGCGTAAAGGCGTGCACCGCGTGGGGGCACGGGATTATGTGATCGGAGTGGGAGGGGAGTCAGTGCGACGCGGGGTTTTTTACCTTTTTCGGCGGCGCTGACGTGCTGTACGATTTGTCTGTCACCGACACGCTCCTCGGTGTCGCTGCCATTGCGTGCCTGCCGTTCTCCTTCTCTGCGCAATGTCCTCGAAGGAAATGGCGAACCACCTCTTTTCGAAGCGGCGCTCTGGTCTTCGTCGGTTCTCTCGCTGGCTGACTTGCCGTCGCTGTCGTCGTCCTCATCGGTGTCTTGCGATTGTCTGCGGGAAGAATCGCTGTCGTTTCCCTTGTTTCCTGGCTCCTCATCCTCCGCACCATCTGACTTCTCTGGCGCGGAAAGGTCGTGTTCCTCCTCTTCTTCCACTTGGGGTCCGCTGTGCCTGTCGTCAGACCCTCTAATATCGATTGTCTCCACTGTTCTGTCGTCTTTGTAGGATATTCTCTTCTTTGTTTTGCGGTGCGTAGTCGCGCTTCTATCATCCCGCGATCTTTTTTCCAGGGCCCTTGGCGGATGGTTCTCAGCGCCGCTTCCACGCTTTCCCCGGACGGGGGTCGAGGGGGGCGACTCGTTACGTTCTTTCAGCGTTGAAATCTCCCGTGCACTCGAAGGGACTGTAACTTTCGATCCGGATTTGCGGCTGCGCTTGTGCTCCGTTTTCGCAGAGGGGCCGGCGCCGCTTCTGCGATGCTCTTTCGACTGCTTCTTTTCGGCCCTCGATTTCTTCCGACACTTGTCATTCTTTCCCGC